GAAAGAAAGAAAGAAAGAAAGAAAGAAAGAAAGAAAGAAAGAAAGAAAGAAAGAAAGAAAGAAAGAAAGAAAGAAATCCCAACAGTAAAGAATTAAAGAGCATTTTCCATCCCCCTTAAAAACATGGATTTCACCTGGCTTCCAGTTTGAAGGGCTTCGGTGACAGACAGAAATCCGCAATCGTGCGTGGTTTCTGTCTGGGCTTGTCACTGGAGCGCCCCAAGCCGGCTGGTTTCGGGGCTAAGCCACCCCGTAGAGGTGGTGAAGAGCGGGGAGACTGCCAGCAGAGTCGAGGAGAGTCGCATCTCTCCTCCCCAGCTGGCCATTACTCCCTTTCCCGAAGGCGGTTGTAGTGGTGGTCAGAAATGGCCACCACAAAGGAGAACTCGGCTGGAAAAGAATGTGCAGGAGGAAGATAAGAAGTGAAAGTTTTGGCTGATCGGGTTAAATTGTAAAAGCAACAACTAAGGTACCCTGGAATTTAAACTTACAAAAAATAACATCGCTCCCAAAGAAGTGGAAGATGATAAAATTTTATGACATGCATTTGCACAGCCCAGCCTGTTCCTGTGGGCGGATTTGACAACACACCAGGATGAAATGTGATTGACTAGCTGGTGATCCTGGGCTCTGAATCATGGTTCAGTATTTCAACCTGTCTCTCTTTCTGAATTTTTAAATAATTTCTTGTTCCATACATTACGTGTGATAATACTGACATCTCAGCTGTGCGTGAGGAAAGTCAATTCTTGAGATTATTTTCCTACTGTTCAATCTTTGCCTCATCCCCTACCTACCCAGCCTGACCCACATTAAGGAAAGTGATTCTCCTTTTAAAAGAAAAAACAATACTTTAACTATCCCAGCCACTCTCCTTTGAAGGATCAGCTGCAGCCTCACCATCATCATTTTTCTAAAGATGAGACATTGTTTGCTGAAATTCTTGATTTGAACATCTCTCTTCTTTGACATAGTATTTATTTGGAATCTTATTTAAGAATCTCTAAATAAATGTCCATCTCCAGAAAATCTATTTAAAAACTAAAGAAGAGTTCTCCACTCTTCTGCTTGTTGCAGAATACCTTATGCCACCAGACTTGAAATTCTAGACCTAGAAAACCTTGAATTACACTGTCTTCGGTCTGATCTAAGTATGGTATATAAAATCATACACTGCAATGTCCTACCTGTCAATGAATACTTCAGCTTCAACCATAACAATACAAGAGCACACAATAGATACAAACTCAAGGTTAACCGCACCAAACTTGATTGCAGGAAATACGACTTCAGCAACAGAGGGGTCAATGTCTGGAATACTCTACCTGACTCTGTGGTTTCTTCCCCAAACCCCAAAAACTTTAACCTTAGACTGACCTCACCCCTTTCCTAAGAGGCCTGTAGGGGGCATGCATAAGCGCACCAACGTGCCTACTGTCCCTGTCCTATTGTTTCTTTTATTTTTCTTATATGTACCCATTTCATATATTCATAACTATGTATATACTTATACGTATTATCTTGTAAGCGATTGACAAATCAAAATAAATAAAAAAGAAATACCTTAAGGAGTGACTGAGCAGGGGAGAATACAGTCAGAGATGCCCGGCATGCCCATGATGTCGCACATGCGCAATAAGGACTGACTGCAAGGGTATGGGAGGGGCAGGCAGAGAGGGGCAGGGCCAGGCAGGGGCATAATTTGCCGGTTCTCCAAACTGCACAGAATCATAACAACCGGTTCTATAGAACCAGTCCAAACCGGTAGAATCCCACCGCTGCCTCCCTCCTGCCCGCCAGTGAATAGAAAGGGTTAAGGAGCTGAACAATGGGAAGGACGGGACTCTTTTTCTTCTTGTCTATCATCTCCCTTTCTTTAAGCAGCAACCTCTTTTCCTGCTTATTCCCTATGCCAGTGATGGCTAACCTTTTCGTCCTCATGTGCTGAAAGTGCACATGTGCACACACATGCATGCCTGAACCCATGCACTGTGCATGTGAGCCCTCCACCCCTGTACATGCACGCACAACCCCCTGCGCACTGCATGCCTCTGCGCGTGCAACCCCCCCATACATGCACGGTAGAAACCCAACAATCAGCTGGCTGGCGGGAGATACACACCAGAGTTCGTATTCAGCAGGTTCTGACCTGATCTGGAGAACTAGTAGCGGAAATTCTGAGTAGTTGAGAGAACCAGAAAATCCCACCTCTGACTGGAGATTTTCCAGTATCCTTCCCCTGCCATGTCCACCAAGCCATGCCCACAGAACTGGTAGTAAAAAAATTTGAATCCCACCACTGGTGCACGTGCATGCTCAGTGCACTGATCTGAGGCAACAGCTCACATGCCAGCAGAAATGGCTCTGCATGCCACTTGCAGCATGCATGCCTGGTTGGGATTCTACCGGTTTGCACCTATTCGCTAGAACTGGTTGTTAACATTTGAAGCAGTTTAGAGAACCGGTTGTTAGAAGAAATTACTGGCCTAATCCTGTAAGGAAGGCAGGAAGGAAACATTCTGGTGTTGCTTACAGAAACTGCCTCTCCGTTAACCCTTATTACATTCTTGGCAGGACTAGACTTCCTGTTTCTGGAACTTCTCTGGAGTTTTTTTTCCCCCTCCTTTGCTGGTACTTTGCTTGTGTGGAGTGAACATTCAAAGTTACAATGGCACTGAAAAAAGTGACTTATGACCATTTTTCACACTTATGACCATTGCAGCATCCCCAAGGTCATGAGAGGCCAGGCGAGGAGATGCGTGCCTCGATGTGAGTGATATTGAGTTGGCCACGCCCAGCCAATAACATGACCACCAAGCCATGTCCACCCAGTCACATGTTCACCAAGCCACTTAAGCCACGCTCACAGAACCGATTGTTAAAAATTTGAATCCCACCCTTGACGCATGCCATAGGTTCACCATCACGGTCCTATGCAAACTCTAGGAAAAGTTACACTTTGAAATGTACACTTTGAAAAGATAAATAGAAGAGGGACTACCCAGAAAGTTCTCCTTCTCTGCCCAGCAGAATTGTCATTGTGTGACGAGCACAATGTGCAGCCCAGCTCTCCGTTACTCACTTCCAATGAATAGATGGGAGCTACAGGCAATACAAAATCCTAACAGGGCATAAAATATTCCAAACATCCTAGGAGCCATTATGGGAGAAACGGGAAGAAAAGGGAGAAAAGGCGACTGGAGAGTTTTTACCTGTAGTCTGAACCAATCTAATCGCAGTCCCTTGAATTCAAATTTCTCCTTGACATCAACTGCAAAAGACAAGCATGAAAAAAGACAACACTTATTGAAAGAGCCTCAGAGGTTTTCTTCTACTGTTTAAGGATGAAAAAAAAATATTCAAGGTCAAGTAGAGTGAGGTTTTGCTGCTGAATGAATTGTTTGCTGCGCACAGCTCTCTCCACAACACTTTACAGACTACATAAGGACTTCGCTCCTGGAGGTTGCATATCCTTAGTTTTGGTATAGTCCTACCAGCATTCAATCAGTCCCTTTTGAACATATGTAAGACAGTTTAACCAGATAAAAAGAAAAACCTACAGAAAATCTGAACAAAGTGTCTTTCGGTGTCTGAGGCAGGGGTGAGGAACTATGGCCCCTTTATGACTTGTAGACTTCAACTCCCAGAATGCTGGCTCAAGAATTCTGGGAATTGAAGTCCACAGGTCATAAAAGGGCCATAGTTCCCTACCCGATGAGGTAATGTGCATACGAAGCAAAGCCACAGTGTCCATAATAGGTGCCTATTATAAAATCCCAAACCTTTTTCTGGCACCATGTTTGAATTACTCTTGTAGCGGGAGGTTTATATAGACCTCTTGAAGTATGAACCTTCTGCATGAGGGCAGGGAAAAGAGACACAGAAACTTCTAGCTGACAGTGTAATTACCCTGTTTGACAGTCAGGGATGTGAGTGTGTTGACAAAAGCTGACATAATCACTGATTCCTCTTCAGGGCACACAGTCAGGTCCTGCAATGAAACAAAAGGGCTTAGAGTGAAGACAACAATTTGTTATTCGGTGGTTTGTTTACACTGAACTTTACTGCATGCAATTATTTAAAGGAATTGTGTTGTCCGATTTAATGCTGTATCTCTCCTGAAGTGTCTTCAGAAAGAGAAGCAACCATTAATATAAGTAACAGATGCTTCAAGGCAAAGAAATCATTTTAAAGGGCTTTACTGACTCCCTTTTCTAATTTGTGACTTGTGAAGCAGCTTCCCTTCTATTGAAAAAATAGGACTGGTTTCATCTAATTCATCCACTCTGACAGCAGATAAAGATTTTTGCCAGCATCCAGATACTTTTTCTTTCTTCCATTCAATCGCATTTGATTCTCATAAATTGTCTGGACAAATCCCTGCAGTTTTCTTGGTTTGTCATTGCCTCTTTCCTAGGTCTGAAAGAAAGTTACTGGCCCAAAGTCACTCAATTTGGCTTTGTGCCCAAGACGAACCTAGAATTCATGATCTTCTGGTTTCTAACTTCATCCCTTAACTATTTGTTTGTTTGTTTGTTCAAATACCACCTTTATTATTATTATTATAAACAACTCAAGGCAGCAAACATATCTGATACTCATTTCTCCTCCTATTTTCCCCACAACAATAATTTATGAGGTGGACTGGACTGAGAGAGAGTGACTGGCCCAAAATCACTCAGCCAGTGACTTTAATACTTAATTTAATACATAAAATTCTTTCATATTCTCACTTTTTTTCTATCCAATCTTTTCTCTCTTTAGGACGGAGGCTGTTCATTGGGTCCTGCTCCAATCCCCCATACACCATGACACTGACTCTGTCAGTTCTATGCTGTTTCCATACCTGTATGATGTCACCAAGCACCTGGGCATCAAAGCGTGACAAATATTGTATATGGTACCGCTGAATGATATTTTGGTGCTGTTTAAGCAACTTGCGGAGTCTTTCCATCAGAAACAGCAGCTCGGCCAAGTAACTGTGAGGAAAATAAATAGGATTTCGGAAGAAGCATAGCAGTCTTGCCCGAGATTCTTTTTGATGCTACAAAGCTGATTTTTGCCAATACCAGCTCCCCACACAACCACACAACGAAGAGATCTGCAAACTGTTCGGACTTTTACTACAAAACTCCACCGTCTTGAAAGAACTACAGTACAATATTCGGTCCACCTAACCTTTTCCATGCTGTGCCCAGATGTGAACAACTTAACAAACAGATACACAAGTTGGTAGCCGAGGAATGCACAAAGTGGGTAAGGGGGCAGACCAATTGTTCCCCAACAGCCAACATTCCCATGCAGATGCTGCCTCTCTCTGTGCCTGATCTTGCCTTCTCTGTATGCAGAGTTTGTGTATCTTTTCCACATGCAAAAGCTAGGTTTGTGTTTGGTTTGCATGCTTCTTAATTTGTTTTAAACCTGGCAATTAGCTAAGATGCAAGGGAATGAAGATTGCATTACAATCCAAAAGTTAAAAGATGACTTTCAGTAGAATAAATTTTCCAATAATTAAATTCAGTTCATCTTCTATCTATTGTTTCCAGGGTTGTTTATGGTATGGTATAAAAACTGCTGCAGCCTCCAGTACACAAATCTACCCTAAAGTGGAGCATTTACTTCCCAAGCTTAGCCGATGAACTCTGAACAATTTAGCATGGGCAGAACAACAGAACTATAAATGACCCTATGCATACATGTGAGAGGGAGACCGGTAAAAGTAGCCATGCATGCTCCTGAAAACGAGACTGAGGATAAATGGATGTGAAGTCAAACTCACTCCAATTCAAAACTCTCCTGTCACAACTATGCTACCTACTGGTTTGTTTACCTACTATTTTGTCCTATTCTGTAGAACTCCTAAAAAACTTTCATCTATTGTAATGCCCTACTAGAGGAAAATCGTTAACTCGGTTTCCAGCAAGGTTAATCTGCAACCAAAAACTGCCAAAAATTGTGGGGAGACATATCTTTTCATTTCCCCTCCACATCAAGATGAATGTACATCTGAATATGCCTCTTCTACCCTTCGGTTATGAATTGGAGAGATTAACTCTTCTGTCGGGAGCGTGCATAAGTGCACCAACGTGCCTACCATCCCTGTCCTATTGTTTCATTCATTCATTCATTCATTCATTCATTCATTCATATATATATATATATATATTTATTTATGGTATTTTCCCATATCATTATAGTTGTGCTTTTAAAGTTGTAGCAACGTTTTGGCAGAATCTCATCTGCCATCATCAGGCTTCTATATTGTGTTCGTCTGTGATTCAGACTTTTACAGTTGTTTCAGTTTTCAGAAACGTTGCTACAACTTTAAAAGCACAACTATAATGACGTGGGAAAATACTCGAACAAAGCTGAATACCATACATGTAAGTACCCACGAAA